ACACACACACACACACACACACACACACACACACACACACACACACACACACACACACACACACACACACACACAATCACGAGACGCGAGAAGACACGCCTTATGCTCCTGACCTTTGTAGTCGAATAAGAACAAGAACAATAAATAGTCGCAAAAGAAAATGAAGAATCCTAAAAAAAAAAAAAAAAAGATTAAGAAAAATAAGAAAAAGATGTGTTGAATGAAGAAGAAGACACGCCTTGTACTCCTGACCTTTGTATCATGCAAATCCGTTGCTCTGTTGCTTACGGTGAAGCTTTGTGTGTTCGGCAGCTTCCTCGACTCCCCATTGGCAAGCAACGACTATGTGGTTGGCGCCAATGATTTTCCAATGCTACCATTCCACGAAACTCCGTACGGGTGAGAACGTATATTATTACGAGTCGCAAAACTCGGTTACAGAGCCTGTCGAACAGGTGTTGGAGTACAAAGACAGGCACAAAATGGAGGATCGACATTTTGTTGTCGTCGTGGAAGACGAACGAGTCATAAGACTCACAACAGAGACTTACATTCATCATCATGCCATCGACCACGTTCGGATGCGCATGTCCAGGCCCACCTCGTATTTCAATAGCCTCGTTTTGAATCCTGTCGAAGGAGATAAATGTATGATATTGTCTACCCGCGTGTGTTTCGTATACTGGAAACACACTACGGCACTGTTTATCGGGACGGTGTGTGGCGGCTTGTTGCAAGTGCGCCATATTTTGTTTGCAATGACGATGATTTCTCTGCGTCATATTTTGTTTGCAATGACGATGATTTCTCGGCCAAGTTCATTCCTTCGTGTAGGCCTCGGCGTTGACTTTCGCAACAATGCTTGCAGATTGTCTGCACCATAACTCCGAAATGGACCGTTGCAAGGGATCGTGCATCCGACGACGACGAGGATACAGGGAGTCGCGGGCGCCGAGTAGCTTGCTGAGGGGCGATGCGTGCCTCAATGCGGTTAAGATTCATTGCAGTCTCGTTGGTCGAGACTACAGAGACATACGTGGGATTGGACGACAGGATGGATCAGTTTGTCGAGACTCCAGTAACATAAGAGAAAGAGAGAGAGAGAGAGAGAGAGAGAGAGAGAGAGAGAGAGAGAGAGAGAG